CCCCCACGCAGTGACGTTGCCTTTTTTCTTTCACGTGCGCGCGCTATTCGAAGCCGAACGATTCCACAGGTGTTTGACGTACCGAGTCGAAATTTGTTGCGCCGCCGGCAACAAAAGGCATGGGCGGCCGCACTGCGCATGCGCGGTAACCGGCGGCCAGGCAAGCAGTCGAGGCGACGACACGGGCTTCGCCTGGAATGAATGAGCAAATCTGCCCCCCTCCCCCCGCACCCCCAAAAAGTCATTCCACTTCACCCTTTCTTCCAAAAGGTTTGGAATTCACAGCTCCCAAAGCCTTGCTCGTCTTCCATTGGGGCCCCGAGCATCAACTACACACTTGCTCCAACATGGCTTCCTCAGTTTCAAAGCCATCTGACACAGAGACAGCTCCAGAAAAATGGATCCCTGCGTTATCACGTGTGTCAAGAGATGGGGGGGTAATAGAGGTTGTTTTCCAACTCTGCCATATGTAACCGGTATTGCATCGACATAGAATATACAAATATGGATTGATGGATAGCCTAAGCAACAATGACTCATGCTGAGACCACGGGTCAAAAAAGGGTAAAAAAAAAAAAAAAAAAAAAGGAGACATTGGTCTGCATTTTGGTGCATGCCTATCAACTGAAGTGGAAGTTCAGCCAAAAGAAGTCTCGAGCTACAAAAATGGGATTGGTGGATGGCCTACGCTAAATTGACCCATGGGTTGGACCTTGTGTCGAGAAAGGGGATAAAGGAAGTCTTTTTAACACCGGTGTGTGTTATGCTGTTCATCATTCAAGGTTTACTTTAATTAAAAAGGAAGCGGTTTAAAAAAAAAAGATGGATGGACGGCCACAAGCTGAATTGAGCCATGCTCTCACCTGGGGGGGGGGCTCAAATCCGGTCCTGGAGAGCCCCTATCCTGTTTTTGATATTGTCTCCCTCCTCCAACACACCTGATTCAAATGATCAGCTCATCGGCAAGATTTGCAGATGCCTGCTCACCATCCGCATCATTTGAATCCACTGTGGTGGAGGAGGGAGACAACATCCAAAACAGGCTGGATAGGGGCTCTCCAGGACCAGGACTTGAGCACCCCTGGGTGACACCATGTGTCAAAAGCGGGGAAAAAAAGAGCTCGGTTTGCAGTCGACCAGGGGTGTCCAAACTTTTTCTGCCAAGGTCCGCATACAGTAAAATTCCTACAAGACATTCCTCACTTTGACTTTATTTTGACGTCAAACCAATCTGTTAGGGTAGCTAATATGCACTTCAGCTTCACATTCCGAACGAAAACAAGAGCATTTTGCACCCAACTGACCTTGACTGGAAGCACCAAGTGACACAAGCAGTGGCCGTTCACGCTCTTTGCTACTCTACCGAGATTATTTCCTTTCATTGGGGCATGATGAAAAGTCTTTTTGTTACTATATTTCAGATGTGTTGTTGGTGGAGTCAGAGATGAGAATGAATTTCTTCTCTTCTTCCGCTTACCGCCCCAGCAGGCAGTCCAACGACACGGGCTGTGTCAATTGTGAATTTTAGCAGATGCCGGGCGGGGCATAATTTCAACACGCCTGCATTCGACCGTTCAACATTTGAAATGAATGTTTACCTTTAAGAGCTTTTTAAAAAAGGATCATGGCTAAGCTCGGCCATGATTTGTAATCGGCAACTGAGCCCTGAACAACTGTGATGTCATCTTCAGTTGACGGCAAGTTGACGCTGAGATGGACAACAATAGCTAAATTTAGCTGCTTAACTGACATCATTTGGACTATAGTAGGGCGCCAATTTTGGGTTGACATGTGCTTTAAAAAAATGCGATGGCTGGATCGAGTGTGCGAAATGGACCCATGGGGGAGACCATGGGTCAAAACGAGGGAAGGAGGGGGCTGGTTTCAAGACCGCAAAACATTTGAGGTGGACTTTTACTCTTTGCTGCTCATGCGTGATAGAATGGAGATTTGCTTGCGATTCTTTCTTCTGACAAGTTTTTTTTTTTTTTGTTTCCCTCCCATTTCTCTGCAGTCATGTGCTTTTTTGTGACCAAATCGCTGGCGCTGACCTGCTGTGCGCCGCTGGCGCTTCTGGGCGCGCGCTACTACTACAGCGGGAAAGTCATCCACAGTTACCTGGACCACGCCTTGCACACGGACATGGCTGACATCGAGGCTTATTACATGAAACCTGCAGGTAAGATTTGGGGAGGTGGGGGGGGTGCTCTTTTGGGGACCAAATGTTTCAAATAAAGGGGGCGAGGTAACCCATACCAACACAGTGTTTGTAGCCAATACGCCACCCCTCCTCCCAGGATTTTTGTTTTTCCTTCCCCCCATTTGCCTCCACTCCTTCTTTGAGGCCTGACGGGAGGCAAAAGGGAAAAGGAAGAACTGCCTAGCTCAGTATTCAGGCATGAGTGCTTTTGCACAATGTAAAGTGAGCGAGAGGGATGGAGCTCTTGAACCTCAGTTTTGCAGCTATTCGCCCCCGGGGGAATGGGTTATGTTCAGGAGTTTATCGGGGTGTCACCCCCACCCCCACAAAAAAGACTTGTGACAAGGGAAGGGCCAACAATGAATGAACGCATGCATCTCCGTGACTCCCTTGGGCGATTAGACATGGGAGGTGCCAATTCAGATTGCCTTGGTGATTTATTTATTGCAGGGCTGAATTTCTTTTTTTTTTTTGGTCACAAAAATTGCATTTTTGAATCATTAGGAAAAAAAAGCAATTGACAATCATGTCCGCACCTCGCTCCATTTGGTATGTGCCTTATTTCTCCTAATACAATTTTTACTCCCTCGGTCATGTAGAGTTGTAGAGGCAACCTTGGGGAAATAGTTTGAAAAACATCCCTTCGTTCAAAAGTGTCCAACAACGTCGATAAAATTCAGCGCCATTGACTCCCAGATGACCTCCCACCGGTCTCCTCCCTTGTCCTAATCTGCCAAAAATTCTGCCGCATGTTGCCTGATTTTAGCGGGAATTTTAGTCAGTTTTTGGCAAAACAGTCGCGAGAGGGAAAGTCAAGAGAGTTGGCAACCCGGACGGTGCTTTTGGAAAGAAGATCCACTCAGGTGGCCCAAATGTCTTCATCTGCGTTCGCATCGCCGCGGGAGCAGTTAAGCCATCGTAGGTCAGTCGATCACGCCATCAATGATTGTCAATCAAGACGCGAGTTCATAACAAACGTCGGCCACGAATATCACTCGGGAGCGGCCCACGAGTGCGGAGGAGGCGGATAGAATATCGAACGAGCTCCGGCCTTAATGGCCGTGCGGAATACACGCTCGCTCTGTTTAATGAAGGGTTCATTTGAAGGTCCCGAGTGTGAGCGTGTCGAGTGAGAGAGAAAAGTCCAGCAAGTGTTGGATAAATGAATCGAGGAAGGGCTAAATCGGATTACGCTGGCGCTTGTATGGGATTCGCCGGCGACTTTCTGACGGCGTCGTCGTGTGAGAGCCATTCGAAATCTGAAGCAAAAAAAAAAAAAAAGAAGCATGGACAATGAGAAGCTTCAAGTAAAGCAGCAGAGAAGAAGAAAGAAAGGGGGAAACAAGAAACTAAGATCCAAGTGGGTAGGAAGGTAAGAAAGTGAAAAAGTGAAACGAGACAACAATAGAAAAAAGGTTATCAGGGAAAAGGGAGATCGGGGGGGAAAAGAAGAGGAAACGCGGAAAAAGATCCAAATCAAAAAAAGGAAAGAAAAAGACAACAGAACGTGCAGGAAAATATTGGAGTGTAAGTGGAAAAAGAAACAGAAAACAGAAAGACATGAAGAAAAAGACAAAAGCTCAATGTCGAGAAGGAGAGAAAAGGGAAATAAAGATCAGAAAGGGGATGAAAATGAAGAGATCATAAAGAAAAAAGAATAAGACAAGATTCAAGTGCAGTCGGGGACAAATAAGAATATGGAAAAGGGAAGGAAAAAGGTGAGAAGAAAAAAGAGATCATAAAAAATAAAGACCACTTTTAAAAGGAAGCAACTGAAAAAAAAAGGGAGAAAAAAATGAACACGGGAAATGAAAAAAGGAAACTCAAAAGAAGAAAAAAGATGCGAGCGGAGGAAAGAAAAGCAAAAGACATCAAGAAGCCGCTGTGCGCGGGCGGTCGCCACGGCAACCACTGAGATGCTACTCTGAGCGCAAGTCTGTGAAGCGGCGACAACGCGTGCACCTCGTTGCTTCTTTTCCTCCACTTGCCTTTCGCCATTCGAGGAACGAGCCTTGCCGTGCTCCTGTCATTGCATTCCAAGCACCCCCCCCCCCCCGGCGAAAACCCTTTTGACCGGTTGCGCCGGCAAACAGCGCCACGCACACAGTGCCACGCACACAGTCGAGTGGGGCGCGGGTGCCAAACGCCGCCGTCGAAGCCGCGATGGGCGGGAAATGGAGGAAAACGCGGCACGGCGGTGCGGAACCTTCTTCGTCACTCACCGTCTTCCTCCCTCAGGTTGATTTCTTGCGCGGCCATCATCAGTATTCGCAGCGGCCCCTCCCCCTCCTGTCTCATCTCCATCCTCCCCTCCTCCTTCCCTCGCTCGGGATGGATGCCCTCGCAGCCATAATGGATCCTTTCAAGGCTCCAGAACCTTCCATTTGTCCTGTAAGAGTCGACACGGAGGGGAGAAAATGGCATCCGCAAGCAATGACGAATTTGTCTCGTGTTCAAGAACGGGCAGCCGCTGGCCGTCTTTGATTGAAAGCCGTGATGGCGGCAAGCTTCGAGGTCATGACACCCTTCAGCCGGAGTGGCACAAGCGTGCATGCGTGCGCGTCGGAGAGCGTGCTTTTTTTTTTTTCTTGCCCGGTCCCGTTCGTGGCATTGGCTGCAGTCAAATAGATGCTCAGGAGGGCGTTTTATTGGAGCAACCCCTTGGTTAACGCATACAAATACTGCAGCATCATTCCCTGTCGAGGGGGAAGGGGGGGGGGAAACCAACAAAGGGAGAGGGGGGAGGCAAGGGATGGGTGAAAAAAAAAAAAGAAAGCAAAAAGAGAAGGAAGGGGAGTCGGAGGCAAAAATGCAAAACAAGTACAAAGAAATAAAAGGGAAAGAGAAAAGAGAGGAAGATGAAAATGGCAAGGAAGGAAAGAGGAGGAAAAAGGACAAAGAAAGGGAAAACGGGAGTGAGAAAAAAGGATGTCAAAATAGAAAAAAGAAGGACAAGAAAGAGGGAAAGGGTCACATCGAGAAGGAAAGTCAAAAGGAGGAGTAGGAGGGGGAAGGAAACGAGAAGGAAAAGGAACAAAGGTGGAAAAGGAAGGAAAAAAAGGGAAAATGGAAGAGAAACAAGAAAAAGAGAAACAAGAAAAAACAGGTGAAGGAAGGAAAAAGAACAATAGAAAGACAAGCAAAAAGAAAAGGTTGAAAAAGAGTAGCAAGAGAAAAAAAAAGGCAAACCAAGTCCGCTTAGCTAAATGCTAACAAACGATCACCCATAGACGTGCGAACAAATAGTGTTGATGTGTTGGTGTTACAACCTTTGAATAGTTCACCAGCGTGAGATTTTCAAAGCACTCCGAGGAAATCGAAACAGCCGGCGGAAAAAGGCCCGGCGTGCAAGATGATGTTCACGGGCACTTCTCACCCCGGCAGTTGGATGTCTCTCGTGCTCAGATAGATGGCGACGGTGACACTGTGGAGCGAAAGGCTCAATTCAATTTTTTCATTGTTCATGTTACAAAAACACGCAAATGACGACATCGCGCGGCAGTGTTGACGGAAGCAAATGTGGTCCAGCGAGGAGGGGTCGCCCTTTTATTGTCTCGTATCCACCGAGGAGCCATGCGGGAGGAGGTTGAAATGTTTTGGAGGGGAAATGACGCAAGGCATTTCGATCCCCTAATTTCATGGAGACGTGCACTCAAGATGACGTCACGTCATTGCCTCGTGTAATAATGACTACTATTTATGAGCAAACTCTATTCAGTATGGTAACAAGATCCAGGTCTAGTGGATCGTCGACACTTTGTTTGTTGTGCCTCAAACCTACAGTTTGGTCAAAATTTTTGCACTTCATAAACACTGCAAACAAATCTGCCCAACAGGGACAAGGAGAATTGATGTGGATTATTTCAAAACCACAGTGTTTTAGTTTCGTTTTTCTTTTTTAAATGCCTACAGAAAATCACGTCTCAAGCCGCGAAATCAGGAATTGCTCTCTGCAGAACCAGGATTGTTTTCCGCAGAATCAACACTTTTTCTCGACAGATTCCGGGTGGGGCTATTTTAAGTATCGGACATTTCAACACAAACAGTGGCGTGACATGTAGGCAGATAATCTAACAATACTCAGCATCCCTTCCTTATCCTCTGCGAAGAACCAGCAGCATTACCGCTGTTTAGTGAGGAATGGCCGTCTCCGTGTAAATGCATTTGACTGTATGATACTGTTCCCCGGTCGCCAAGGTGCACGCACCAGAAGGAGCAGCAGTCGGGACCGGATGTTTTTAGGTTTTGCCACCTGTGCCTTGCAGGCTCCTGTTTCTGGGTAGCAGTGCTGGACGGCCGCGTGGTGGGCATCGTGGCGGCGCAAGGCCGCGAGGACGACAACGCGGTGGAGCTGCGGCGCATGTCGGTGGATTCCCGCTACCGCGGCAAAGGCATCGCCAAGGCCCTGGGCCGCCGCGTTCTGGAGTTCGCCGTGCGCAACAACTACGCGGCGGTGGTCCTGGGCACCACGGCGGTCAAGATGGCCGCCCACAAGCTGTACGAGTCGCTGGGCTTCCGCCGAACGGGCCAGAGCGAGGACTACAGGCTGCCCGGCATGAGTCGCTCGGCCGCCGAGCGGCTGTTCTTCCAGATCCGGCACAGCAGGTACCGCCTGCAGCTCCGTGAGGAGTGAGAGGTAGCGCGAGATGGAAGAGAGAGCGACAGAGCGTCTCTGACAGCTTTTATTTCTTTTGACATCCAGTAATTATTTACTTTCAAGTCACTAACAATTACTGCCGCTTAGTACTTCTGTTGTTGTTGCTTTTTGGAATACCGTTTGACATTTCCACATTTTTTTTTTCCTCTCCATTTTTTTGGGAGGGCGGTGGGGGGGATTGTTATTCATTTGTTCTGGTACCGTTCCCAGTGGAAATGAGTGGCAGCCCTTCCATATCCCTCTGTTGGGACCGGGCGGGGAGGGGCCTATGCGCGCATTGTCCATGGACATACACCGGACGTCAAGACGAGGACGATGGAAGCCAAACTGGGTGAAATAGCGAGCCCGGCGCTGGGTCCAAATTGGACCCAGCTTATGCTGGGTTATTTATTCCCAGGACATTGGGTTGCAGATTTGACGGAGCATGTTGGGTGGAGATTTTGATCCAGAAAGGAGTAACGCAACACATTTTAACTGATGAGTTGAAACTACCCCAAGATGGGCGACCAGATTCAATATCAGCAAAGCTGTGGTTGAAAATAAGACTCGTTCCATCAGCGATGTTTCCCGGCCCACCGAGCCATCCGGCCGCTCCCGGTGATTTTCAAGAATCTGACATTCAACCGACTTCATCATCAGCGAACTGCAAAATAGTCCAAAAGGGGTGACCAGCGACGGCTCTTCGGGCCACCCAAACCCAATCTTGAACCCAATCTGCCGGGTCAAAATAATGAACTCACTCTTGAGTAAAAGTACTTTCAGCCAATCTGCTCCCAACACACGCCTACCCAACGAGCGCGTCAGCAAAACAGAAATACAAAGCGAACACAGCATCATTTAGAAACGACACAGCTGAAAACAACGAAAAACTGAGACCGAAGCGTAACTTCTTACCTAAGGCTCCCGCTGTCGTCGCTGTGGCCTCACGTCGCATTTTTTCAGCCGTCCCTTCTCCTTTTGCTTTCTGTCCCTTGAGCAATGCTCTCTGTGATAGGTCGAGGCACCGGGAAGAGCACTCTCTAATGCTCTTTGAACCTAACACACGGCACATCATTTTGGCAAACCAGTCAAGTATGACAGATACATTTCATACACAAAAGCAACAAAGCTCATTTCCACCGAACTTTGTCAAGAGGTGGTGCAGGTGACAAGAATCAAATCTAATCTATCTACGGATACATGAAGATATATTTTATACATTTTTAATTTTTTTTTTGCAACCAGCAGCAACGTCGGGTAGCGGTTAGTGCGTCTGCCTCACAGGCAGGTCGGCGGGGAAAGCGGAAAACCTGGAGCTCGAGAACTGCAAGGCAGACATCCTAACCTAAAACGGAAAGCCACCATTGTCGGGTAATGACGCGACAACTAGCAATAACGCCGAATCTTCAGCACAAGAAAAGCCGATTTCCTTCTTTTTACACAGCAAAGCCAGCGATGTTCATGCCCCTAAAGTTGCCATCCTATCTTTTGTAAAACTCAACTTAGGAATGTGAGGGATACACGGACTTCATGGTTTCGCCACCTCTCTTCTACCTCCCGTTTAATGAGTCTGTCTGCAATTCTGGGCCGAGACCCAACACCCACCCCCGAAAACCTTTGACCTTCCTTGTCCCCGGCCTCAGCACTTTCCCACCATTTCCGCATGAGCCACAGAGCTTTGCTGCACTGCTTTGATGACGTCATTTGGGAGCTTGTCGGGGGCCCACTACAACCTGAACCCCTCCAGCCCCCTACACACACACACACACACACACACACACACACACACACACACACACACAATTTGTGTGCATGGACTCTACCCCAACAATGCAACACTGCCCCGGATGAGAGCTCGCCTGCCAGCCAACCAAAACGCAGAATGCAAAAGCAATGCAATGTGGCATGCCCGTGTGTACCCTACAAAAAAAAAAAAAAAAGACAGAAAACAATTCATCTATATTTATATATGCCTGCTATATATAATTACAGAGACGTATGTCACGTTGCAAGGTGGTGGTGGACCCCAAAAAGCAGGCAGGAGAGAGGAGCAGGGTGAACTTGACGAATTGTATTTAACAAAATACAGAGAAAACTGAATCCAAAACAAACAAAGTGCCAACAACCAAAACGAATCCAAAGTAGCAAAACAAAACCATGACTGTGGCAAAAAACTAACAGGAACAGAACCATGACAGAAACAAACATGACAGTTTCAAGCAAACAAATAATGACCCGAAACTGAGTGGTTGTGCCGGAAGTCCGTTTAAACAATTACATAACGACCAACAGGTGTACAGCTGCAGGGAGAGCCCTACAGTGCCACCTGTTGGTCACAAACCGAAACATGACAATATATCTGAAAATGTATTGTGCTACCTTTTTTTTTTTTAGATCATGTGAAACAATTGCATGGAATGTCTTTCCCAAATTGTAAAGGGCATTTACTCAGAGCGCACAACTGAGACTGACAGCGGATCAGTTGAGGAGTGTAAACAAGCGGGACGAAGTGGAAGTGGTTTGCATGGCATGTTTCGCCCAAGCTCCAGCTAAATACTTGAACGCATCCGCGAAGCTCGAGCAATGTCTTCTACTTGAGCGAACAAAGCGTCCATCATCGTGACAGATTTGAACGGGATTGGGATAGCTGCCAAATTGGATATCGCCATGCACGTGGTGTGCAAAATCTCGCTACCACCTGCAGTAGGAATGTTTGGAATAAGAGGCGCGACGTGCGGGAGGAAAATACTCCTCATTTGGGAAAATGCTCCTCAGAATTAACATTCCAGTATATTCTGAAGAAAGCATCCGGAATGCCTTATGCCAGGGGTGTCCAAACTTTTTCGTTGGAGGGCCGCATACAGTAAAAAATGGAAGGATGAAAAGGCCACTTTTTGAAACTCGCTTAAGTCAGCCAAGAAAGCGATTCGAGATTGTTTGTATTGTCGAGTTCATTTCATCGGCATTGAGGCATATTGTTGAGGGAATTTTCTCCAAGTCTTTGGTGTGGCCAACAGCCCTCTCTCTCACCGACTAGTTCCAGCGCTGCACTTGGCAGCAGCTGAATCCCATTTCCACATTCAGAAGCAAAAAAAAAGACAAAACTAAAGTAAGGTAACCATTTTTCAAACAGTTCAATGAGAATCATTCATTTGATGTCTTTGTACATCAGCCATTGAATTCCCTTTTATTCACTACAGTGTTTGGAAGATAAATTGGGTTGTTCTTTGAAGCATTTATTCGTATCTTCGAATATACAATACAATACAATACATAGCAAAAAGTACAGCCTCCCTTCTCCCTCTTGCTCACCTTGGCCTTTTTTAACTAACCCCGTGGCTCATGTCAAATGCCATTTTTAGTATCCTATATTTTTGGGGGTCATGTCGCGAGCCGCTGAAAAACGGGGGGGGCGGGCTGCACATGGCCCCCGAGCCGTAGGTTGGACACCTCTGCCTTATGCAGTGAAATCAATGACTGGAAGGCCGAAGTAGCTCAAAGTGCACTGTTTTTTTTTTTTTTTAATGTATGTTTACTACTTCAACCAATTCTTAGTAGAATGTAGAAAAGGTTCAATGTGCAGCTTCTGTGTACAGTTGCACCTTTCTTCGGTGGGTTTTCTTCGGATTTCTGTTTTTTTTTTGGGGCGGGGGTTCCCTTTGATTCAGAAGGTATGCTGCATCGAGACCCCCTTCCTGTACGAGGGGTCCCGTTCACTTGAGTGCTTTAGGCCCCGCAGAACGTCACTACGAGCAGGCACGAAGGCCCAAACTGCCGACAGTTAAAGCTCCTCCGCAGTGGCCCACAATCAAATCCAAGTGTTCAATCAAGGTCAGCGGTTTCCCGATCGCAAACTGAAACAGCACAAATGTACAGATGCTGCGTGTGGTTTTTACTCTGATGATGTCAAGGCGGGGTGAGCACCCATAGGCATGAATGTAAAATGCTGACATGAAGTGTTTTGTTTTGTTTTTTTGCGGGGATGGGGTTTATTTGATTTCTTTCGGAGGAGATAAAACAGAAGGTTGTAAATAGTTCTAGGGCCACCGTTTGGTGTTTAACTTCATGCAACCTGTCGTTTCGATCAGTCGCGTCTAAAAAGAAGACGGCGGCGTGGAATGTTCCACCTTCTGAAGAGGGCGAGGGAGCCGTTAAAAAAAAAGAAAAAAAGAAAAAAAAAGAAAAAAGTGGAGTTTGGGAGGTTATGCTGCAACGAGGAGGACACGGACCCCCTCTTTCTCGCCACGTGGCTTGTCTTTGGCCGACACAAACTCTGGACTGAGGCCACAGGTGACAAAAACACCTCAGCACTTGTAGCGCAACCGTGTCTTGAATCACAGTCCAGTTTTCGATTGCTATTTTGTTTGTTTTTGTTGTTGTTGTTGTTGTTTTTTTTCTTCTGAGGGGAATACAGGTCAAATTTGTATTGCGGACAGTCATTTGCATTTACTCAAGACGTCATTGCATGATGTATTGCTCATACTGACCAATGGCTATTTTTACAAGTGGAAACCCAATGCCAAATGTGACGGTTACCGCTGCAGTTTGTATATCCTCATGTGGCGATATTTTGTCCAAAACGCGATTATTTAGGAAAAATCCTGCCCACGTGCCAACGAATCCAGCAATAAACACAAGTAGGCAAACTCCAACATACTTTCCACATGGATTTTGTCATAATAACACTGTAATGATGTTATTGATCTCCCTGACACAATACCGTTCACACTTAAGGGGTGTTTGATTGTACACTTTTTTTTTTTTGTCGGCATATGCGCAACTGCATGTTTGTAAAAATGTCAATAACAAGTGGTGGAATGGAAATAAGAGTCCGAGCAGACAGGAAAGAAGATGGCGTGGGAGCACCCTGACCGTGACAAGTCATTTCACTCTGACCGCTTTGGTCACACACACCCTTCAGGATAAAAATTGCGACTCCTCAGATTGTAGGTTCAAAATTTGGAATCGCTAAGCTTGCGAGTGCAAAACTGTATGATACGTTTCATGTAAATAGCATCCGGGGTTCATTTTGATTCACTCTGGAACCCAAATTGTACATTCAAAGACATGCAAATTCTATTTCAAAGATATCAAGGGTACCGATTCTTCAGTAATGATTGGAGTAGCGATGCTTCAAACGAGCGCGGGGACGATTAAGAAAAAGATTCCACCTAATTGTGACATGTTTTTTTTCCCCTTAGTCTTGCGCCTTAATATGCGATTTGTTTTTTCCAAGGTACTCTCCCCATGTACTTTTAAAAAAAATGTAAACTGCTTTCCTTCAGCACTGAACTTATCAAGACAGTATCAGTATATAAATAAAATATACACTGTATGTATATATATAAAAATAAAGTCTACCCACGGAACAAAATGAAGCAGCCCCCCTGCCACCAAATCGCAGCTTTGGCAATTTGAAAATTGCATTCGAGTACATTGCGAGGTGACGATTTGACTTCAGCCTTTGTTGAATGTCAGCCTTCCTTTTCCTGCCTGTCTGCTTGCACTCTGGAGATGTCAAAAGTGAGCTTAGTGCAGACCCCCACCCCTCCCAAAAAAAAAAATCAGTGTCCAGCAACATGCCCTGTCCTGACAGCTGCATGTTGCTGGGAAACGAGCTCGCGCGCAGCGCTGCGGGGAACAGATAGGCAGCCGCGCTTTTTCGGAGGCAGGCGGGTCAACCAGATGGCTGCGATAGTGGACTGCAAGGAGGGAATAGCTGATGGATGGTGGGATGCAAAGGCCTTGGGGGATGGGACTGCGGGAACTTTGTAATTGGCGACAGGGGGTGGGGGAAGCACTTATGCTACGGTCTGGAATTTGAGGGAAGGGGCCCGCCGTCGTCGCTGGAGGCAAGGAATAAATAGCACCTGAGGCCCGCTGACTAGTTTACGAAAGGGGAGGAGTTGGGAAGGGAAGACAAAGCACAGTTACATTCGGGGAAGGGAGTGGCAAGTGGGTGCAGTGAAAACTTACTTTTTGTTACATGACATCAGTTCTCTGTCTGTCCCTCATGCTGTACCATCACACTGGAAATACGATCTGTGACTATGAACCCGGTTGGAAAAAATATATGTATATATCATTTTTTCCCAACTGGAACACTGTACAGGTGTAAAGTTGGCATTACGACAAATGTGGCTGTACATACATTGATATATTGTATCAATTAAAAAACATGCATTAAGCCCGAACACGTTTAGACCAGGGTCATGCTTTGTCATTTGAAAAATCTGCATTTGTCACACTGCACGATGACATCCAAGTACTCACAGGTTTTACGGTTGCCATGGCAGCAGGGGGCGAGTAGGGGGGGGGGGGGACCTCATACTGTTGCCCGTGCCAAACGGATCCGTCTTACTCCTGACGTAATATGGTCGCTGTAAAAGACTAACGAGGTGAAGTCATTCATTTGTCAGTCAGTGTGAAAGCTGGATTCGGGAGTGTTTGTTCTACCTGTCTGACTTGGGACACCCCTTCTCCAAAAATGCAGAGAGCCCTGAAGAATGTGCACATGCCAGTCTCACACTCCCCTCTGTGGGGTGAGGAGGGTTGGGGGGATCAGGGGGGTGAGGGGGGCTGTTTCAATTCTTAAACCAACAGAACAATGAGAGGATAGACGGCCAGATTTCCATAACACTGTCCAGTGCAAGGCCCGGAGCGCTACTCGGAGCGAGACAGCTCATTCCAGAAAAGAAAAGGGAATTGATGATAAAAGAAGCTTTCCACATTGTAGCCACTTTGGGTTGAACACAGAAAAGTCGACACACCCCTGTTCAAATAACAGGAGTTTAATAGGAGGCACTAGCATGTAAACAGAGGATGGTGAAAGTTAAAAATGATATATCTTGGTCTTCTTTTTTTTAAATACAAAGTTTAAAAAAAAGGCATTTGAACAGGGGTGTGTAGACTTTTTCTACCCACTGTTATATGGCAATGCTTGGACAAATCATGACAATTCAGTACTGTATTGCTAAAAACAAAGCAAAAAAAAAAAAAGAGTACGTGGTTCCCCGAGACAGAAACTCGGTCACTGCGTGAGCGTGTGCACGGTGGCCTGCTGGTGGATAGCGAGTCTGCGTGCATGTTTGCAAGTGTGTACGAGTATTTGTGGAATGCGTGTGCTAGTGTGAGCTGCTCCAATCAAGACAAAAGCGGCTCGAGCCAAGTGAGTCCAGTTGGAGGTGGATGGAGAAAGGAAAGAAAAAAAAGATGGGCTCAAGGTAGAATTGTACGGCTGTATTATGTGAGAACGTGCATGCTCGGTTCAACAGGCAAAGTGCAGAACAATTATCTAATACCGTATAAAAACACGGAAACAAATCATCTATTAAATAGCAACTATGAAGGGGGCGGAGGGGGGAGGATGAGACATTTTTGGAAAGAATTCAAGTGGGTATATTATTGAACATGCGCGCCTAATAACAACGAAGCCAAAGTGAACCAAAAAATCTCACTCATTTCAGTAACGTGAGCGTGTGTGAAAGGCAGACGACAAACTGGTGCAATCCAGTCTGCGGCTCCTGCCGTTGCCCCCGGAGACGGATGGAGTGAAAACCAGCACTGGGAGCAGCTGCCAGGTTTCCATGGCGATGTGGATGCTGGACAAATGAGCCGAGACGTGAAAAAAACCGCAGCGAGGAAGGCCCACAAGCTCAAACATTCGAACGTGGAGAGAGATAAAACACCAAAATGAGCTAAGCTGGTGGCATGTGCAGCGCGGACATGGAACCCCAGGACTTGCCACAGGAGACTGCCACCTTCAGGGGGACCTGCGAAACACACAAACAAACACATACACGCACACATTGAACGTGCGATGGAACGACAGCCGAGCCCTGCGTACTCACGATCCGCCACCTGCGGATTCATCTGGTTAAAAAAAAAACACAACAGAACATGAGCGCTTACGTACGTGACCTATTTTACTGCCCACGCTGCTTTTCTCACCAATTCTCTTCCATCTGTGCTAGTTCACGCGAGGTCTTAGGGAAGCGTTTGACGCTAATTTTCACTCATTGACCTCTTGCCCCTATTTTGGCCTGCCTGAAAAATCGGTGCAGATTTTCAACTTACATTTGATGGAAATAATGAAGACGTACCGTTTCACTCTAATTTGAAAGTGGGTTTTTTTTGTTCAGATTTTCTGAAGGCAATTATCATGCAAAAAAAAATTAAAAACAAAACCAAAAAAAAAAAAGCTCAATTTCTGAATGAGTGCAATGGGCTTTTAGATCGATGTAAGAAATAACCAAGACAAGTTAAGAATAAAGGTGTTGACTGCAGCCCGAGTACGCGGCTTGGTATTTTACCGCGAGGACAGAAGTTGTCACACCCTCATTCCAAGTTGACCAATGAAAAGGCTTGTAATGCCGGTTCAGTGGAGGACCGCCCCACAAGACTTAAGTTAATTCGTTACCAAAAAATGGGAAATGGGATGTCACTGTATCGCACTTTTCTACCTGGGGTACTCAAAGCGCTTTAGGCTGTTTTCCTCATGTACCTTCTGATGACACAGCATTAGAAGCAACTGGGGGGGGTTCCGTTTCTTGCTCAAGGACACTTCAACATGGTCACAATGGCCGAGGATCAAACCCCCAACCGCTGCGTTGGGAATCGATCTCTCTACCACTGAGCCATGCCGCGCCAAAAATCAGAATTTGCAAACAAAATTTCAAAACGTGCAACCATAAATTCTGAATGCAAAAAATGATTGTATCATGAGAACAATGGTTTTGGGGGTGGGGGTGGTTGTCACCAAAACCGACGCTTTTTTTGGAATCACTGGTCTTGTTCGCAAATCTTTTTTTTTTAAATTGCAAATCCATTACTTTTGTTTGCAAATCATTTTTAGTTTGCAAATCTTTTTTCTGTTCAAATTCCCTTTTTTTTGTTTGATTGCAAATAAAGACACACATTTCTCTCTGTAAATTCTCAGTTTCACCCTTCACATTGTTTTGAAGGTCTATTTTCCTCCATCTAAAATTTTGAAGTGAATTCTCCCCCCTCCTGTCTCAAGCGGAGACAGGAAATAGCCTGAACACTCTGCAAACAGTGCGCCGTTCCTTCGCTTCTCTGCACTCACATTAAGATGGACTCCCAGAGGGTGGATGTGGCTCAAGGACTCCATGCTGCGCTTCACCAGGGCTGCGCACAGAAACATTTTTCAGGTTCAAGTCTTCTAAAAAGTCAACGCAATCCTTCCAAATTCCAAAGTGGTCACCAGCAAACTCTTCCACCTGCGCTTCCTCCACTTCAAACAGGAGTTCATCACTGAAATGAGCCATCAGCCTACAACACAAGACAATCATTGAACTCAATGTTAGTCATGCCTCCTGCTCGACCGGAAGCGCCTTTTGGCCTTTGTGAACAATCCGTTGGCTCGGGTGCTCGTCTGCTCTTCATCGTTGGCCGCCCAGCTCGATGGCGGGTTTTGACAGTATGCACACAAGTAATGTATAACCTCTTAGATGGAGAACGGTGCAAACAGGTTGAAAGTACCCTAAATTGAGTAAAATAGCGAACCCAGAACCAACTCAAATGCTGAGTTATTTACACCTGGCGCATTGGGTTGAGGATTTAAAACGGCACACTGACAATGACAATTTGGCACAGGTTTCACAGTGGAGGAAAGTAATTGGGCAACGGTAACTAAGAGTACTTTGATCTGCTCAAAATCCACAGCTGCCCAGTGAATGGGGTAGGAAAACAACCTGGTATTTTTTAGGGTGTATCCGCCCCTGCGATAAAACGGGGGTTCACTGTTTTGATTAGGCCTACCTGGCAGAGAGCGTTTCGGAGGTGGAAATCATTTCGGATACTTGGATCATTGCCATTTTACACAGGTCGGCCACGGAACCTGCACAGAAGCACGACGTCGATAGCGAACGCAAACCTTTGCAAAGTGTCCATTTGCAAACATACAGTTGAACATTTCTCGAGGGGAAGCAAAACGCGACAGCCATTAAAACCGAGAGTTTGACCGACCTTGCAGCACAAAGGCGAGAGCTTTCTTCTCCGATTGCGAGCGTAGAGCTGTGTCTTTGGAAAGGATATGTCGCAGGGGCCGCTGGCGGCCCACGAGGGAACACACGAAACCTGTGGACAGAATGTGGACATTTCTTCGTTTTTCTGTGAAGACCTTATTCATGGTGCGGAGGGCAGCATGGTGTGCTAGTGGTTCGAACGTCACCGTCACAGTTCTGAGGTTCGGGAATATGGCCTCCGTGTGTGGGGTTTGCATGTTCTCCTTGTGCTCGCGTGAATTTTCTCCTTCCGCATTTCAAAAAGCCTGTCTGGTGCGTGGCCCCTCCCCCACCTGCTCAAAGGTTCCCACTCGCCCGTGACCCTGCTGATCACGAAGCTGTATAGACAATGGATGGATGGGTGGATTGTGCAGGAGGAAAGTGAAGTGCGAATGCAACTAGGATCGATCATTCTGCATGCACTCTACAGGTACGCCTACGTGTGTTCCCACAAATGTGAAGTGCCACACAGATGATGTACTAACCCAAGCAGGGATGTGTCAATTTGGACACACACACACACACACACACACACACACACACACACACACACACACACACACACACACACACACACACACACACAGCAGAGCAGTGCATTCCAATAGTGGGACAATGGGGCACGGCCTGACAACTAAATCCCTTCAGTATCCCTTACTGTGAGGAAAGTCAACCGGGCCATGGAACCTGAATGGCCCTCTTCCCATTAGCGCGCACACACACGCACGCACGCACACAGACACAATCTCATGGCCAAATACGTAGGAAGTGAGCTCACAACAGATACCGGCAAACACAAAACCCCTCCGCTGACCCGTGACAACTTGCGTGGGCCTTTTGGCCACGGTCACGACCTTTGTGCCGGGCCCCAGTGGCACTGATGGGCGGCGCACTTTGAGGCCGCAAACGTTGCTTCCATGTGTGCACTGGCGTGGCTGTGAGTGACGCTGGAATGTGCTTGCTGACACTGTATCATCCCGTATGTTATGTATAGAAGTGCATGTGTGTGAACCAAAAGGGCTTTCCAGAATCTGCCCGAGTCACACACAGGAGAGCGAAAACTCTGAGTAAATCCGCACATACGCATGCACGCACACAAGCACACAGATTGGCTTCTTTGGCTAAGTGCAGACTTGCCAGCATTATGTGTGGAAACTGGAATGTTTTCCAGTGTGAGTGGCACGGTACCCACTAGAGAGTTCCTCAGCCAATCTGAGGGTACATTTTGCGACATTACCACGAGGGCTGAACCATTTGGAAAAACCAACAAATTGGGAGCCTCCCCGCCCTTCAATATTGCTACTGCGATTTAATAGGCGATGATTTTCCAATTCGGATGGGTCAAATGTGAAGGGACCCAGCCAGTTGCTGCCAAATTGTTGACAGACTTCTGTTAAGTGCAGCCTGAACAGTATTGTGTGAGTCAAGCGTGTTGAAGCCTCAGGTGTGCTGCGTTGGCAGTTCAAGTCCAATATGCAGTAAACAGTATTGACCCGCTGCAGTTTATATTCCTCCCGCCAATGCGTGCGCATCCACTTCCTCGGCCAAGATCATTGCAAAGTGTTGGTCCTAAGCAAGATCAACCTTGGGGGAGAGAATAAACGTACCGTGCTTGCGGCACTGCTGCATAGTCATCAGGATGAAGTCTTTCACTTTTGGGAACTTCAGGAAGAAGTTGTCTTGGAATCGGCGAGCCTCCAGCAGTGTCACACCCATTGTGTTGGCTAGGCAATCGCGGCCTGCGGAGGAACACATAAAGGACGAGGAATACGTCAACTCTGCGCTATGTGAGGAGAATTTTGAGAGAGACATTCGGATGCAATGATTAGTGCCCGACCAATCAATTGAATCAAGTACTGACATGTTATCTGTATGCATACTGCTGCAGATAGCCATTTCTTTTTAAAAAGGCAACTATGGGCACTGTCAAAGGCGTTTTGCATCGTTTGTTAGCATTTAGCTAAGTGGACTTTCCTGAGGCAAAGCTCCGTTGAAATGTGATTCTCCTTTGTTCTGTTTAACTTGACAGTAATCTCCAACTGGGAATGGCGTGAAACAGCACAGACACTTGTTTGATGACGTGATCAGTATTTGCCAAGTGAGGGCAATGACGTTCACTGCCACCATGTAGCACCAGACTCTAAAGTTCTGCTCTGTCAAAGTAAAAAAAAAACAAAAAACAAACAAACAAACAAAGAAACGACGTTTTGTATCTCATCAAACAACTAAATCAGGTCACTCGTATCTCAAGGCACGACTGTAGTTGAGTGCATGTGTGTGTGCGCCCATTATGTGTGTCGCAGAGATCTGCCCCTCCTCCCTGGCCTGATTAGTGTCCTGCAGAGAATGCTCCATCTTAGTATTCCGTCTCCATGGCAACACATCCCTCCACCGGGAGCTGTCTGTCTGATCAGAAGCTCCTTGCATTTATCTTCTCATTTGACCCTCCCCCCCCCAGGCCAAACCCCCTTGACTGGGCCCCATGACCTCTTTAGACAACATTGGCCCTCGTCCTCCTTCTGCCGCAGTTCTTCGTCTGTTTTCCAGAAGCGGCTTTTTAACGTTGCCCATGATAGAGGCTGTGTTTGTACAGACAAATTGATAGCAATCACACGGGCCAATATTGGCGTGGTGGATGTTGCAGGTCGCCAAGATGTCATGAACGAGAGTCCATGTGCACTCATGAGGAAAAAAAAAAAGACACGTGCGAGGACCATAAATGGGTCACCGGTAACATGCACACAAACAACTATCGTACAGCTCACGAGGGGCCATGAGACGCTCATCTTTTTTACATGACATGAAAGAAACACATTTGTGCAACATGTGAACTGCTTTCATCTTGGCTTTTTTTTTTTCATTTCGATGCCATGAGTCAAATGGCAGCGTGGTGAATAGCGGTGAGCGAACCTGCCTCACAGCTGAGAGTTCTGGCTTTGAACCTCTGTTCAGGCCAACCTTTGTGGAGGTCCATGTTATCTTCCACTTTCGAACAGTTCGGGGTGTACTTCACCTTTTACCCAAAACGCAGCCGAGGCCTTCAGTCGCCCACGCCTAATATAAAATTGATGCGGTTGGTACTCACCTTTCCCATACAAAATGGAAGACACGATGCGTTTGGCTTGTTCTATGTCCTCTGACGTCACAGCATGCTTCCGCAGCCTGAAGAGCAGACAAATTCAATGAATCGCAATCATATCACATTGAGAATCCAATGTCAGTGTGACAGAAATGATATGCATTTTTACAGTGAAGCCATGTAGATGGGGATCTAGATTATGGAAAGTCATCAGGGCAGGGAGGGAACGTCTCTAGCGGTCGGAAAGAGACAGACACAGAGATGCGTTGTGAAGCATCCGACAGGGTGGGATGACACCTCGCCGAAGTGATGGTTGATGGAGCGCTGTCACCGCTCATCAGTGTATTAATGGCTGGATTTATTTCCTCCACCTTTGTCACACAAACACATGCTTGTGTATGTGTTGCGTAAGAGGAATTGGCACAGCAAAGCTTTACCATGAGACCGAATTTGAAATCCGTGGACTTCCCTCGGTTGCCACCGCTTGACTGAGATTTGATGTGAAAAGTCAACAGCGTTCATCTTCTCTCTTCAGGATGCGCAACATCACAACGGGATTTGTTCTTGCATGGACTTCATCTGAAGAGCATGCGAGGGAGGATTTTAAACGTTGGGTTTGTACTGCTGTCCCGTGGCATGACATCATTGCCCCCGAATTTTTTTGAAGGGTGGTTGTCAAACACAACTGTAGACGGGCAACATAAATTTAACACCTGTGGTATGAGCTAAAAAACCTCGGGGCAATAAAAAGGCCTTAAAAGGGTCCCAAAGTTCAATGCTAAATGAAAACGTGACCTTTAAACCTTGATTTGAGGCGCCCAGGATCAAGGCTCTCACTGTTCAATGAGATTTAGACTGCCTCCTGCCGGATAAGCAAAAGCACAGGAGCCTATCACAGTCAGAAACTCTTCCAAATCGATTTTGCAAAACCCCGTAAAGTACAAAGAAACAGAACGGAGTCAGAATTAAATGAGCACTTCCACATTCAACGTTGCGTTATCCCAGCCACAGATAAGAGATTGAAGAAAAAAAATGGCTGAGTAGGCTGTACCAAAACTTTCTCAAGGAAGGTAGAAATGCTGCACGTTTCGCTGGCAAATAATGCCAATACAAAGCCTTGGAATATGTGTGGGACCCACCATTCAGAGGCCAAAACAGCATAGACGTCAGAGTCAGTGTTGGTAAAAAGGTTGATCAGTTTGTCGTCGTTGGAGAAGTGAGCCAGGAGTCGCAGCTCCAGTTGGCAGAAGCCTGAAAATGGCACATGGTCATTGACTCCACAATACAGTTGGGCCTCAAGTCGCCAACTGAATTCATTCCGTGACCCCATTTGTAATGAGAAACAATCGTGAATCAAGGTCACGTTACACATTGAAATGAACGGGGAATGCAATGAATCTGTTCCAGCCTCCAAATTCTATTGACAATTGATGATATATAAATAGATGTTCATTTCTCATGCTAAATCTGTACAATATAAAAATAAGTGAGATAACACATTAAACAAACATAAGCGCTTACTGCGCTATAACTAAGTGAGGAGTGTAGGAGGACAACTTCTCTTCCGTTGAAGAAGGGTCTCCTTCGAAAATATCATCAAAATCTAATTCTGACATTTTTTCCCCTCGTCTGTCGACTTTCTAATTGTTTTTACACAAACAAACAATCTAGGGAAACTGGACTGTTAGCCAGATTTATTCGGGTGCTGCTTTTTTTTTTTTAAATCGATGCTTGCACATCACTCCATTTGCTGCACTTTTTTTTTTTTTTTTTTTTTTATCATGGCAGAAGAAACCTCACAAGTCTGAGTGGACCATAATCCGAGTGTCCATTGTTGAGGCGGCCGACCGGAGCTGTGGCCGTAAGGGGGTCGGCGCAGGTCGTGGCGGCAACCCACAAACCTGCTAGTGGACACCAGCGGTGAGGGATGCCGTAAAGCTGGTCGGGGATGAAAACCTGCCCCAAGTGGAGCAGTTCAAGTATCTCGGTGTCTTGCTCACATGTGAGGGGAGGATGGAGTGGGAGATCAACAGACGAAACGCTGCATCCGCTGTGATGCGGGCTCTCGATCAGCCCATTGTGGTGAAAATGATTTACCGATCCATCTACACTCCTACACTCATTTATGACCACGAGCTGCGGGTCATGATTGAAAGAACAAGATCCCGGATACAAGCGGCCGAAATGAGTTTCCGCCGCAGGGTGTTTGGGCTCTCCCTTAGAGATAAGCTGAGAAGCTCGGTCATCGTGGAGGCGCTCAGAGTCGAGCCGCTACTTCTCCTCATTGAGAGGTGCCAGAAGAGGTGGTTCGGGCATCTGATTAGGATGCCGCCTGGACGGCTCCCCGGTGAGGCGTTCTGGGCATGTCCCACCGGGAGGAGGTCTCGAGGATGACCCAGGACACGTTGGAGAGACTGTGTCTCCCGGCTGGCTTGGGAAGGCCTCGGGATCCCTTGGTAGAGCCAAACGATGTGGCATGGATGGAAATTTCTATGAGTGACTTTTGTGGAAGCTGTGTTGCACTTTCCTGCATTTTTGGCCCCTCAAAAGGCTCTTCCTTTGTCAGAAGAACGATTCAAATAATAAATAGACACAGCACATCAGCTGCCTGGGCCGTGGGGAAAATGTCATCATTGTAAATTGTCCCTGAACCAAGCAGTGTACATGTGACTCGAGAGCGACCGGTTGTGTGTCTTGACAGTTGGGAGGCACAACATTCCCACACACGTGCTGTAATATGTTTTGACGTGCCTCCGAGTTGAACCGTTCCTCGGGACACTGGCAAGTGGAGAGTGCTTTCTCATAAGTTTGTGAAGGACAGGAAGAGGGTGGCCAAGCGAGGGCTTCCCTGAAGGTATTGTTTCCATGGCAACCTGACTCCATAATGTTCCAGTTGCAAAACTGTGTGGACGCTACCACGGCTTTATCTCTCTGCTTATGTAAGTATGTGACGCTCTTGTGAGCGTATCCAACACTGTGGCTGGGAGTGTGTTTTACTTTACCTGCGGTGACAAAGGTCCAGCCTTCTTCAGAGATGTATACGGCTCGAGGATTGAAACTCATCACATCCAGCTCACCGCCTGTGGAGTATAAAGTCAGAAATAACATTCAAACTGTGGTGAGAGTGCAAATACTTAGTTACTAGACTTAAGTAGAGTTTTCCGGAAACTGTCATTGGGGTATTTGTTTTTTATAGCCGTAATCGGTTGTTTCTAGCTCGAGACCAAAACAGTTGGGACGTTGTGTTAAACACAAATCAAAACAGAATGCAATGATTTACAAATCATATTCAATCTAGATTAAATTTAATACACAACAGAGAAGTTTTTTTTTAATGTAACTGATTAACACGATTGTTTTTAGCAAATAATCATTCACTTAGAATTTTATGGCTGTTCCAAAAAAGCTGGGACAGGTGGCAAAAAAAAAAAAACTAGCAACGTAGTGAAGTGCTCATCAAACACCTGTTTGGGACATCCCACAGGTGAAACAGGCTAACTGGGAACATGACTGGCTTGTAAATGAGCTTTCTCAATTGCTCGGTCATTCCCAAACAAAGCTGGGGCCAGGTTCACTTCTTTGTGAACACCGGAGCGTGAACGTGTAAAAGTGTTCTGTGGTCTGATGAGTCCACGTCTCACTTTGTTTTAGGGGAAATTGTGGACATCTTGTCCTCCGGACCAATGAGGAAAAGAACCACCCGGACTGTTATGGACGCAAAGTTCAAAAGCCAGCATCTGTGATGGTATGGGGCTGTATTGTGTCCCATGTGGACACTGCTTCCGTGTCGTACGCTGGCCTCGGTGCTGATGATGCTACATCAGCATGACAACAACAACAACACAACGACATCAAGGAGTAGTGACAGTGGACGTTAGAATGCCAGGGTGCTGACGGAGGGAAAGATGGGATGGGCGGAGCAACAGGGGAAAGCGAGGAGCAGGATTTGATGACAAGTAGCTTTGGGCGGCAAGCAGAGGTGCTGATGTTAGCGACGATCAATCACTCCACACACAGAAAAAGAGCTGAGTGTGGCCATGCGTGTTGATGTGGCCTGGCCTTGCCGACAGATAGAGGAAACAATTTGGATGCTTTATTCATCCACAAACAGGTCGAGAAAATGTTTGTGGCGTGGATCCGAAATAGAAATGCACAAAGATCACTCATCTTTACTATCAGTCAAATGAGTCAGTGAGCCAAGGTTGCAATAATGTTTGGACTCAATGCGTGTCTAATTAATTTTGTAAGACTTAATGAACCTACCAAGTAATAAAATACACAAAATATTTGGAGGATTCAAATATTTACAATAAATCAATAAATCTAACCCTGAGTTGGATTAAAGAACGGAGTGGGCCATATGTGGCCAAGTGTGCTCCTTACCTTCGGCATGCGGCATCGGGGTAATCTTAAGTGGAATGGTGTCGAAGTTCTAGTTCGGGGGAAACAAACAGTAAGTATGGAAGAAAAAGAGATGCAGACTCCTCTGTAAGCGTCCTCCGATTGGATGGACCGCTAAATAGATAAACTTACAAAAAGCCAGGTACTAAAGATTGAAATGTGACATTATATTGTTTATTCAAGCCAAATTCAAAGATGTGCCTATTTTTAATAAAGGTTGGGAGGGGGGAAAAAAAAACCCATCCACTACACTGCGTGTATCTGGCGCATGGAAACATCACCACACACAAATCCTCCCGATTGGCAAAAAACTCAGAGTTAATGCTTGTCAAATACAGTGAGCATGTCGAATATTTGTGAACGTTTGTGAAATCAATTCCAAAGCATGTGCACGCGAGAATTGGTTGTGCAAATGTTGATGTTTCACTTTTTTTGACATGAGGCCAATTAAATGTCATTTGCCTAGAACATGTAGTCGTTTTTTTTCATATTTCAACTGATGTCAGAATGCCACCGTAGTTCATTCTAAGTAAATGGAATCTGCAAGCAGCAGTGGAAGATCACACACACGACACCGGATATCGTATTCTTCGAGACTTTCCGACGCACCTTTAAATAGCAGCAAAGGCGGTCTAATCATTAGCCCAGCCTTGAGGAATCTGAGAAATATGCTGCACGTACACATGATTGCATGGGCAGCTATTTTCCTGCAAAGCAAGCTAAACAGGAAGGCGATCGGTCACACTGCACGCGCTCTGATGTCAAGAGGGGGACTCGACGGCCGACGATGTCCCCCTGCATCCGTCGTTACAAATGCGGATGCTGTGCTAAAGAAACAGATGCATCGACACGTGCTCACTTTGACCCTCACAGTGAGTTTAGGTTGGTGTCGTCTGGAGAAGGCGGGTGAGGGAGCAATACTCTGCTTCCACAACTCATTTATTATTCAGCAGACAGAGGGAGGGAGTGACAGAGGCGAGGGTCGGTGAAGAAGGACTGCAGAGGCAGGGCGTGGACACCACACAACAATGCAAATGTGCAACGGTGACACCAGCACTTGGAGGTATAAAAGAGACAGTCGGGGAAGTTTTAAATTAAATAAACGCAAAGGTGACTGACTACTGCGAGGACCTTGTTAAACAGAAGGAGCAAAAGTACTTCTGGAGGATAGTGTTGGTCAATTTAGTCCCTTGGCCGATTGAATGACTCATCATAGAACTTATGCACGTTAAAACACACACACACACACACACACACACACACACACACACACACACACACACACACACACACACACACACACACATTTGTATTTGCTTCACGTTGCGATTGCAAATGCTAACGCTCTATCTGCTTCGCATCAGCAGTAAAATTGGTGCTGACCTCGCAATAAAAAAATGCAGTTGGGTGGGAGGTAGTGGGCACCATGACTCAGGGCAGGAGCAGTTACACTTTGACTTGCAGGAGATCTAAAAACAGATCAAGCAGGCGAGGGTGGAGGGTCGGGAATCTTTCCACAGCAGGGGGAAAAAAAAAAAAAGGGAAATGCTTGAAAATGTCTTTTTGTTGTCCTGACTTTTTGGGCCATGGCTACAACAGCAGAAGTTTGCTTGTGTGCGACTGACTTAAATGCCCAGCAGAAAATATGTCAATGAGATGAATACGACGAACCGCCGTTCATTGCGTTCTGTCCTTGATTCCCTGACCATACTAGTATTTACTGCTTAGGTAAGATTAGATCGACATTTAATCGGCTCAATGCCGGCCGATTATGAATTGAGGATAGCAACACGTTCTGCACTTACGGGGTTTGCCGAGAAGATTCTTCCCGTCACAGCGCTGGTCTGCGACCAGTTCGGGGAGATGTAGCCCTGTGGAGTTTTCAAGCGTGAACAGGGAGGGCTTGTCTTTGTTTACACTCTCAACTCAACTGAATTTTTAGAGCATTTTAAAACAGCCACTGCTGTCGGCAAAGTATGTGGAGAAAAAAGAACTCATACAACAAAAATAAATTAATAAATGAATAACAAAGACGGGAGAAAGCACAAAAACAGTCAAACTAAAAATCAAGTCTCATACGGAGTCAAAAGCCAAAGAATACAAATAGGTTTTAAGATGAGTTTTAAAGATGGACAGCGAAGGGGCTTGACGAACGTTCAGCGGGAGGTCGTTCCAAAGAGAGGAACCGGCGACGGAAAAGGCCTCGTCCCCTCTGAGCCTCCGCTTGGTTCTCGGTACCTCAACTAGTGTCTGGTCGGCAGACCTGAGGCACCGGGAAGGTGCAGAGAAGCTCAGAGAGGTCAGGTGGGGCCAGGCCATTTCAAGATTGTAAAACAAATAATAGAATCTTCAAAAGAACTGTATAGGGAGCCAGTGAAGGGATGCCAGAGTAGGAGTCATGTGCTCCCGCTTACGAATACCGGTCAAGAGGCGAGCGGCAGCATTCTGGACCAACTGGAGACGCTGCATGGAGGATTGGCTGACTCCAAAGTAAAGCGCATTACACTCATCCGGCTGAGATGTGCCGAAGGCATGAATGACTGTTTTTCAAAGTGCTCACGAGAAAGAAGATGTGCCAGGCCAAAGCGACTCACCTTAGTCATCATGTATACGTAGGTATTGTCGACAAAGTTCATCCTGGTTTTTTCAACCTGACGGATACAATGCACACCATGATGACTTGCAGAGGTATCCAAGTGCAGTTCACGCTATTAAGAGTAGGATGGTGACACCCAACCACGACATACCTCTCTGTACTCTAAAATGATCTTTGGTAGAGGATGCACATCCTGGTACATTTGCAACTGCAACAAATACAGAGGATTAGTTTCTCCAAAAAGATTTCACTCACTTGTTTACAAAGGTAGAGTTGGGCTCTACTGTTTGAGATGATGCGGTATCCTCCCGTGTGGCCATATACTGGGGAAGCATCTTCTTGTTTAGGCGCTCATGTAGGCGCAGTTTCTCAAAGAGAACCTTTGAACATAAAAAAAAACAACACCGCGGCCTGAACAATCGATAGGGGTTTTTTTTTTTTAATGCTGATGTTGATATTTGGCAGAAAAAAATCCAGATCACTGATTAATGGACCGACTAATTTCAAAATACACAAAAAATAAAATACAATTTTGGGGGTCCCATAACGCATACAACAAATATATGAAATATGAATTACAGCCTGAGCATTTGACTGTTTTACAAACTTTACAGCAGAGAGAAAAAAACGGCCAAATTTTTTGCCCTTTTTTTTCGTGGGATGTTTACATTTGTCACTGAGTGACTGACCTGACGGATCTGGATAGTGCTGGTGATCAGGAAATATTCTCCAGCAGCTCGATGGGCGTCCTGCTCCAACTGGTTCATCTTAGTCTGACAGAGAGAGCAATATAAAACAAAAACAACAAGATGAGTGACAACCACGTGCCATAACGGTTTGACTCTGACTCAAGTAGAACGTACACCAAAGAAAATGGCTGACTTCCTGCTGAATTTGATGAATCCAATTTTTATGTGATTTTTGTTATGATACACGTTTCCAGGGGATGCTACAAAATGAGATTTGTTGTGTAGTGTTGAGGGAACCCTAAAACGCAAACACGTGGCCTTCCCACCCCATGGAGACATTTCCGATTTGAGCCCAAAATCTAAAATATGTTCTTTTTCCCACCTCGGAGCAAGTACCAGGCTGCCTCATTAATTTTAAATATGAGCCCTTCAGCAATTCATTCAATGTGCGCGCGCGCACACAAACACACACACACACGCACGCAGCCTTAGTAGCAGCAGAGATGACCTTGACAGCTCGGCTCCAAACAACACCCGGATGCTCGTTGAAACACACTCAACTCAGCAATTTGGCTGTGGCAGACAGTGATGCTCCTTCTTGACACACACACCCACACGCACACACAAAGTTTACATGCTTTTTATAGAACCACAACAGTCAATCCTCCATCAAGCGTCTCCAGTTAGTCCAGAATGCCTCCGCTCGCCTCTTCACAGGTACTCATAAGAGGGAGCACATAACTCTTACTCTGGCATCCCTTCACTGGCTCCCGATACATTTTAGAGTTCTTTTGAAGATCCTCCTATTTGTTTTCAAATCTTGAAATGGCCTCTCTGATCTCCTCCACCCCCTACGCACCCGCCCGCTGCCTCAGGTCTGCGGACCAGACACTATTAGAGGTACTAAACGGAGGCTCAGAGGGAATTGAGGCTTTTCCGTTGCCAGTCCCTCTCTTTGGAACTACTGTTCCACCCACTCAACGTTTGGCAAGCCCCCTCGCTGCCCATCTTGAAAACTGGCCTTAAAACTAATTTTTATTCTTTGGCTTTTGACTCAGCGTGAGACTTGATTTTCAGTTTGACTGTTTTTGTGCTTTCTACTGTCTTTGTTATTCATTTATTAATTTATCGTTTGTTGTATAAATTCTTCTCGCTCCATGTACAGCACTTTGTCGACAGCGGTGGTTGTTTTCAAGTGCGCTAGAAATACACTTGAGTTGAATTTTAATTGACATCCCTGTGAGGACACACAAAACATGATGAGGCGAATGATCACGGCCGTCTTGAATCTGCATCGCACGGCTGCGGAAAATCAGCGATGATGATGTAACACTCGTTGCCTTTGTCTGCCTACCTTGAGCAGATCTGACTGGCTTTCCAAAGCATCTCTGTCCATCTGGAAGCATTGGCTCTCCATGGCTGAAACAACACAAGCATGACACATTCACAACTGTGAAATAATTTGAGAGCTCACATACAGCAAAACGATTCGTGTGGATTTGTTGAGGGATAGTGGTTTTAACCAAAGGTCATGAACCAATCACCTGCTAGAACTGGAATCGTTTTCAGCTCGATATCCGAGTAGATCTTCCAAATGCCCTGGCACTGGAAACACACATGAACATACTATATGAGCATATGGGACTGAGAGTCCAAAACCGAGAGGAAACTTTTTACCCGTATTTCGGCAAAAAGCTTCTTGTTCAGGTAGTAGAGGGAATAGAGTTCTGACAAGACCTGGGACAGAAGCATGAATTGTTCAGTGGGGTCCACAATGACAAGATGCACTGAAAAAAGCTTACGGTGGCGGGCGTTGCAGGGGGCAGGTTTTTGTGTGTGTGTTTCCAATGAAGTTCCCGGTAGCAGGAGCAAGGATCTTCAGGGTCCAGGAGCCACCCTGACACATGAGGGTCCTGGATACGGCAGCCTGACACTACAGGAGACAGAAAGGCTGAGCAACAGCTTTCTTCACAGGCAGAACAAGTCAATGATCTGATGAGATTCGATCACGATATGAACAAATTAGTGTGACGTTATCATAGACCAGTACTTCTTTCCCGAGGATCAGCCAGATGACCCCATAGATTTGAGAACCCCCACATTTAGATGCCTGTTTGCTTTGCCTTGTTTCCAGCTGAAGTGTTGTCTGCACAACTGGAGAGTTACGCTGAGCAAATCCTTGGCTCTGTAGCACACTGTGACGCCAGCTCGCGACAGCATCTGCAGCAGCAGGTCTCTGCGGCACACAAATGTCTACGAAAAGCCAAGGAAACGGAACGGCGCTCGCCGCGCGCGGAGCATGACGCGCAAACATACCTGGTGAAAATCTGCTGCTCAACCTGTACCGAACTGCAGGCCAGTTGATGGTACAGCAGGAGGTCGTTCTGGCTGAGCGAGTGCCCCCGATGGCAGCTGTCCACATCGTTTATGAGAAGCAGGAGGAGGCCAGACACTGACAGCGTGAGATTCGGTGGACTCTAGGAAAGGCACAGATTACATTCAAGAACAGTCAAATTTCGGCCAGGTCGAGTTAGGACTGGGTGACGAGACAGATGATTTGAGACGGTCATTGTAAATCTGAGATTTCATTTCAAGGCTGCATCGCTCGGCCCACTCAGACCGAAATGCACCCTGCTTACCTGTTCTGACTGCAACTGTGTGGTACCATCTTGGTACATCAAGGTTAGCAGTAGTGCCCTGGCCTGCTTAACGCTCTCCAACATCTGCTTTTTCTCTTCCTGGTTCATCGCCTCAGTACTCTTCGCTTTAAGGTCCCTGGTCAGAATTCCCCCCAGCAAGTTAATTTTGGAGGCGCTGGTGGAGGCGCTGGTGGAGGCACCGGCGCTATCCCCGGTATCTCTTTGTCGGGTGTCCTGCCCGAGCATCAGGTCTTGTTTCGGCCTTTGAGTGTGAGAAGCTGGTTTGGGGGCTGATGATGGATGGTTGGGCTTCTTTCGAGAGGAACGGTGTAGCTTCATCGGTGGCAAATTTTCTGATTGTCGCTTCAAGGCGGAAGTATTCTGGCCCTGAATAAACAGATAAAAACGTGCTGTTAGCACAGGACTCACTTGGTGACTGAGTACTTGCACTGTTCCTAGAGTCTTTACAAACAAGTGTCTGCACTGCTACTTTTGTACTTTCGCTTGGTCCTAGTACCTGCTATCTTAAAGACTCACAGTCAATCTTGCATTGACTTCTGTGTGCATTAGGGAAAGAAAAACCCGAATCCATTTCAAAGCAGCCATTTTGAATCTCATCTCCTGAGTCTATGTGTTTCCGTAACGCTGTTCAGTTCCTAGTCGGCACTCACTTTTATTCTCTTCGGCAATATGCTTCTTGCGCGGCGTTTTCTCCGTGGCTTCCCTGAAAGAGAGAGCATGTTTGCCGAAATGGAGATTTACTGCACATGTGACAGGAAATGAGGGTACTCGTGCTTACCTGTATTGGTGGATTGAGTCTCCATCAAGTTGGAGCGTTCCATCAGTGGTTTTCTCTTGGGGAATACGACGTTGGTTTTGGAACTGTCACGATCAGGTTGCGCATCTCTCATCTTGAAACTATTCTCAAAGTCGGTCTCTTCCTTTGACTTATATGCACTCTCTGGATACATCCTCAGATCCAAGTCAGTTTTGAGAGGCAAGTGGGGTTTTTTCTCAGCATCTTCCCAGGCATAATTTGTCCAGGTCAAGTCCTCAAAAAGATCTTTGACGACGCTATCGGCAAACCAATCTATCTCCATTCCCGCTGAAGGTTTCCCAAAATCCATTATGGTGTGACTGGCAATGTCCTCCTTGGTGGGTACGCTGAAAGTAGCACAGCCCTCAAACGTAGGAGGACGACTCCTGACGATTGCGGCACACCACATAGGATCGTTCTCTCCTATAAGCATGTTTGTACTCGGTGGAGCCTCATGGAAGTCATCATCCTCCCGTTGGTCAGTTGGCCATGTTACAAACTGAGAATGCTCTTTGGAGGTTTCATCCAGCCACGTGAATCTGAAATCAGCCTCTGCAGCCGCTGAATCCATCGCTGTATTGGATAGTGTCTGATGAACCTCAACATCGCAGCCGTCACCCTCTGAAGAAGGATGGCTGCTGAGGACCTGTGGCCCACTTGTACTGCTGGGAGACAATGACCATTTTTTTTACCACTGTCTTTTTGACACAGAAAGATTTGTCACTTGTCATTTACCATTGTGCAACCATCCTTTCCCCCACCGTCTCCTTCCAATTGCTGGAAGCACCGGCCTCCCTTTGGTCGCTGGGATTCATCCCCACAGGTATTTCTCCAAAGGCAGAATTAGGAGCAAAGAGCAATAAATGAAAATCAGAAACGAAGTCATTTTACTGTGGATCTATCTCCAGAACAGCAGCAGTGTACAGTAGAGTGATAATGTTTTTGCGCTCTTCTCAAATTCTTACTTTTTTTGCACAGTATCCCCACTTTAACGTTTCAGATCATCAAACGCAAATATCTGACAAAGGTGACTCGGGTAAACATAAAATGCATTTTTTTTTAAAATGGTGATTTAATTTATTCAAGAAAAAAAAATTCAAAGCTACCTTGACCTGCGTGAAAAAGTATTTGCCCTGCACAAGTGTCATGTGTGCGCTGGAGCCTACCCCTAGCTGTCTTTGGGCAGTACACCCTGTACTGGTCGCCAGCCAATCGCAGGGCACACATTGACAACCAACCATTCGTGCTCACAATGACACTGTGAGACAATTAAGAGTGTTCAATTAACCTACCGTGCATATTTTTGGAATGTGGGAGGAAACTGGAGTACCTGGAGAAAACCCTCTCAGGCCCGGGGAGAACATGCAAACTCAACACAGGTAGGCCTGGCCGGATTCAAACCCATGACCTCGGCATTATGAAGCGGATGTGCTAACCAGTCTACTACCGTGCAAAAAAAAAAAAAAAAACAAATGTGATGCAGCACAGGTAGGGAAACTGCAACTAAATGGGGGAAGGTGGTATTGCATAACCAGCTCTAGTTTATCTTCACATCTTACTCTGACTTTGGTTGATTTCTTCCAAGTCGGCTGGCAGAGTATCCTGGAACTCCCGCTCTTCAATGGAAAGAAGTCCAGTGCTGCATTTCTCCATCTTGACTGCACTATTTGTTGTCTTTTTTTTTTTTAAACCTACAACAAAATTCACAGCCATCTTTATTGGTTATATGCTGAAAACACAAACAATTTGTCACTTCAAGTTGGTGTCTATCACTCCTTAGCAATATATATATATATATATATATATATATAGCTGGAACTCCCGCTCTTCAATGGAAAGAAGTCCAGTGCTGCATTTCTCCATCTTGACTGCACTATTTGTTGTCTTTTTTTTTTTTAAACCTACAACAAAATTCACAGCCATCTTTATTGGTTATATGCTGAAAACACAAACAATTTGTCACTTCAAGTTGGTGTCTATCACTCCTTAGCAATATATATATATATA